GAAAAAAATAATTTTTCATCTTTGATTTAGTTCACATAACCTTACTGAAATTCCCCGTTTGTTTTAGAAATCTGTCTTCATCGTAACTATGTTTCATAGTTATTCTATTTGACATACTTATTATTGTTATGGGACGAACGATAACTGACAACGTGACACTTGTTGAAAGCGAAAATCTATTCTGAGTATTTTAAAAAATGTAGATAGCATAATTATCCATTAATATTCTAGAAACCTATTATGATGCTCTGTTTATTCCCGATGCGTTATCATTTGGTTGGCTCCTTGAATCCATTGATAGTTTGCACATGACGTTTTATCCTTCTCTTGTCGTCCCTTGTCTTTTTCTTTATTCTACAATGACCATGTGTCACTAATTAGTTTATCATTTCTGTTCCCATGTTTAGATTATCTCCCTTCATAGTCTCGATATTCTTCTTTTCTCTCTGTCACTTTATATATAAGCAGCAATCGATGATATAGAATAAACAGAACATTAGATGATTAGATAACAACTGTTACATCTATGTTTAATCAAATATTATTGGTGCAACTCTTATTTCTATGACAAGTTGAATGGTAAGATTCAGAGAATATCAATAGAAATAAATTCCATCAAAACTAATTAGTATATATATTAACATGATGAAAAAGAAATGAATGAAAAGTTTTTTTATTTTTTTTTTAAGTCTTCTTATTTTTATTTGTGTCAAGTGTTAATAATTAAACAAGATTAAATAACAATTCAATTGTTTATTAAAACTTGATGTCAACATATAACATTGAATTCATCTATGGATCGGAAGTAAATACGACTTGAGATGTTTCTGGATTGAATGGAAGAGATGCATGTTCATGTACAATAAGCCATCGTCCATTCTGTTTTTTATAGCCAACAGTTGCACGCATCCAAGTTTTTATTGCTCGATGTTCCTGTGGAATGCCAGTAAAACGCCAAAGCCAATGAGCAAATGCTACATCATCACTAACATGAATAATCATATCTCGAGTTTCAGTTTGGAAAGATTCCGGAAAATAAGGCAAACATTCTTCCCATGCTCGTCTCCATTCATTTGCTCCTTTTCTTTGGAATGGAGGTTTTATATCAAAGATAATAACATCATCGGCATAGTTAGCCATCAATCGATCAATATCTTTCAAGCAAAAAGCACTTGTCCAATCGGCAATCAATTGTCGAATCTGACTTTCATCATTGTTTTTAGAGGTCATTTTGAAACAAAAAAATAATAATACACTGGTTTTCGTAATATAATCTAAAACAATGTTTTTCAATAGATTTTGTCGCTCACAATATCATCTAGCACTTGTTTCTATTCAATTGATCTATGTAAATAAACTATACTATATAGAAGAATCGTAGCAATTGAAAAGATGAATCAATCAAAAGCCGATTAATCTCTTCAAATGTCATCATTAAATCTCAACGAGTATTGCCTCGTGATTCATATCTTTCTTTCTGTTTGAAGTCTAAATAGTTAAGTAACAAAGTGAAAAAAGACAAATGTGTCAACAAAAACAAAACCTTGGCAAATATAGTGAAACCTAAAATAAATTAAAACATATGTTTCATAACCGTCTGTTGTTCTTAGAGTACTTCTTATTATTTTATTCGATAGTTTTAAACACTATCATTGATAGTTCGACTAAGATCATTTCTCAATTTTCTGCTGCAACTTTTCTTTCGATTGATTTCATAACTATTCATTTATTCATTTTTTCTTTTAAGAACATTTTATACTGCCCCAATAAATACTTGAATTTTGTCCTTTAATTCGTGATGAGACAAATCACTTTATATATCTCAGATAGAATTCAGTTTTTGCTCTAAATCAAGATCAATACGAGATGTCATATCTAATAGACAGTGTTGGTACACATTTGAGATAATGATGATACTTGAATGTCTTATCTATCCTTCTTCTGTTTTTTTTTTCCTTTATTTTCATTCTGATAAGATATATCATTGAACTAATCCAATTCATGATAGCTAGTTCTTCGGTCGGTAGTATCAATTATATATTTTGTGCAAGTGGCGCCCTCTATTGATGTTCACGTTAAGGTGAATACAAACGGCCATGAATACTTCATTTCATCAATGCTCACATATCTAAAACTCTGCGTTTGAGACGATGGGAAAGAGTGAAAATATTAGTGCTATTAATATTTACGCATAATAGTCAATGTGATAACGAAAGAGAGCTGAAAATATTGGCTCTTGTAATTAAAAAGACTCCATCATTAATTGAATAGATAAGTGTAGGTGTGCAGGAGGTTCTCATACACATATGCCTTCGAATTATTTCGTTCATAATTTCATCAATCAATCGCTGCTAAATTTTACGAAAGTATTCTTATAGTGCACATCGGAAGGATGATGCTATTGTAGATAAGATCTGTGCACATTCTAAACTATATTGACACAAAGAACTTCGGACAGAATATTCATACTTGAAACGTCTTGTGTAATAGCTATTTGCACACTCAATGATGGAAAAGCCTACAATGAAGTGCCTACCCTAGTCGAACATCTTGTAAGTAAGATCTTGGTCAAGATCTTGGGTACAGATAAGTTAACAGATCTTGAAAATTTAGGTACAAGATAATAGGATTATCTTGTACCCAAGATCTGTAGTCAGATCTTGGGTACAGATGTATAAGATCTTAGCTACGAATCCATAAGATCTTGAATACACTAAGATATAACGTGTTGCACGTGTCATGATGGTTCGAATCTATCGCACAGTCAACTTTTTATTTTTTTCTATAAAAGCATGTTATAATATTTGTGGAATTTATTTTTATTTTAATTATTTTTATCAGGAATAATTCAAGCAAATCATATGCTGGAATTGGACTAGCTTTGAATTGGCCTGATCTCCGTCAGACCATTTCAGGGTAGTCCTATCTCGATCATCGATCGAGATCAGAATTTTCTCAAATATCAATAGTCGAGAAATAATTTAGAGAAAAAAATAATTTTTAAAATTTATGTTTTGTATGTTCAATCATATTGTTTATATACCGCTCTGTGC